CCCCAAAACCCCAAAACCCCAAAACCCCGTGAAGATCATTTAGAATTAAATAAATGCCATTAAAAATAAGTTGAAATTTAATGTTAAAACATATCTACACTTGCTGTTATAAAATACTTCTCAGCTCATTCTTTATTGATACTAATCCCAAAGCAAAAGCATTTTACTCTCTAAGTCAGCTATTCTCTTATCTTTATCAATTACTGCGTCTTTTAAATGCTTGATCTCTTCATTCATTGTCTTTTAGCAGTTTTGAAGGTGCCTAATACAATCATGGAATTCTTTGAATTTTCTCTTGAAGTTACCTTGGCATCTCCCACAATTCATAATAAATTCCTCACACTAGGCATTTTCATGAACCATTTAGTTTTTTCTCTTGATAATTGAAGGACAATATTTGCATTAAAGTTCTACTTCCTCACATATTTTATAATGAGCTTCGCTTTCACGCCTCTTTACAGGTTTATTGCAATATTCACATGATATTGGCATGAATACACAATTCTTTTGATGAATAATCATATCCTTTCTTGTAAGTTTCATCTCACATCCATCATCATGAGCTTAGCATTGTAAATATTCAAATTAGCACTCATTTTACTCATGATCCTCAATTTTGTCATAATTAACTTGTGATTCACAGCCGAATTGCTGATTTTTACACTGAAATATCAATTCAGAGAGCATGTTTCTGATAACTTTGTGCGCTTTACTCTTAAATTTAGGAACTTCACTGCATTTTAATGGGCATATGTACGAATTTTTGAACCATTCGTGTAGGCAATCATAACAAAAGCATGTTTCACAGCTTTTACATTCCTATGGTTCTCTTAAAACACCAAGACATATGCGGCATTTAAGTTCTTCTTTAAAATTTTAAGAATTGACTAAGCGATCTTATGATAATACAGAGGCTTTCGAGTTTAGGTTCAGTCCTTGAATACTATTATCATTTTAATGACTCACTTGTTCCATTTTATATTGTGAGAATTTATTCACAATTATTTTCTTATCAGCTTAAAAGAGGGGTTTTGGGGTTTTGGGG